CTACAATTGGACTGAAAATGAGCTACCCTTCCTCCCTTCATCTGTTTCCTGTCCTTGACCCCCCAAAATTCCTTCGAAGTTGAATCATGTGAAACACTGGGAAGAGAAAAGGCAGCGCATTTTATTTCCTTGCATGTCACTTGTTTAGCTTCTGGCTGCTCTTCTGGTTTCTGTTCCTCTGGAAATTGATCCTGAGAAGTCATTGAACACTGAAAATGAAGTCCCTTTAGGAATGGTGGTGACAGATTCGGAGGGTTTTTCTTTTATAGCTGAACTTTTTTTTTTAAGAAAAATAATTCTTTTCAAGGAGTTGCTTTGTGTAAAACTCTCTTTCTTCTAGAAGTAGTTTTAGAAAGTCATCATAGGGAAGTGATTTAACAAGATTAATTTTATGCTGTACCCTAGACAGATAACACCAGCTTTGTTCAAGAGAAATATGAGCCACAAATGTAAGCCACTTGTATGAGTTTAAATTTCCTACTAGTCACATTAAAAAGGTAAAAAGAAACAGGTAAATTTAATTTTAAAAACAAATTTTATTTAACCCAATATGTCCAAAATGTTATATTTCAACGTGTAATCTGTATGAAAAATTATTAATGAGATATTTTACATTTTTTTCCCCACACTCAGTCTTTGAAATTTGGTATGTATTGTACGCTTACAAAACATCTCAGTTTGGACCAGCCACTTTTCAGATGCTCCAGAGCCAGGGTGGCTGGTGGCTAGCACATCGGGCAGCACAGCTGGACACCATTTATCAGTTTCTAGCATACTCTCACATTTCATTGTGATACACAGTGTTGTTGCTCAGCTGCAGATCGTATCTCCACCTTAATCAACCAAGTATTAGAAAACTTAATAGGGAGACTGCTAATTAGCATACCAGTTATAAAGTTTGAAAATTGTTTATTTTAAATTAATCTGATATGCTTATCCCAGTGTTGTTTACAATACAGCAGAGATAAGCTTAGAATACAAACAAACATCTCCCACAAAAAACAGTCCCTTTTCAGTTACTGTAAATTCTAGATTCGATAAGGAGTTTGCGTTGAGTTATGCCTGGGATGCCTGGGCCCTTCTCTGGGGACTCCTGCCCCAGAGCCCGTGTGAGTTGCCCCTGGACTGTACTTGCACCTTCTCTATCCACACGGTATTAACAGTAAACTCCATCTAACACCTGCGTGGCTTTCTACCATTCTTCTGGGCCACTCCCCGCCCCGTGTTTAGTTCCCACAGCAAACATATTTTTAAATAAACAAGACTTAGGAGTGACATTTTTCTTTCTCTCTAGCCTTCGTCTCGAAATTCTGCCTCAGCAACGACCCCGTTAAGTGGGAACTCATCCAGACGAGGAAGCGGGGACACCAGCAGCTTAATAGATCCAGACACCTCATTAAGTGAATTGCGGGTAAGCTTCAGTCCTTGGTTTGTTTTTTCAAAACAGCCTTTGGCTTCTTTGTAGTAACTGGAACTTTTCACTTTTAATAAGATTTAGTAGAAAGGAGGGGTATGGGCTCTTTAAGAAAAAAAAAAAACATCGTTAATACAGTTCAAAAATGTGACTTGGATGTTTCTGGAAGGAAAGAGGTTAGTTAGTTCTTTTTTCTTTTCTCTTGCCTGAAAGTTTGATGATATTCTAATCAGTTCTGCTAATTCACAAATGCTAAAAAAAAAAAAAAAAAAGAAACCTTTGCAATGTGTGTAAAAGTATTTTTCTCGGAAGTAATTGGCCATATTTTAAATGGAAAACGTGTGACTATACAAGGAACCAGAGCCTGGGAATTATTAGTCTTTTGGGTCATTATGATATTATTTGGCTACTTGAATATAGTCATCTCTCAACTTTTCATGATAATAGAAGTGTCATAATATTTAGTGTAACAGAAATGCCTGGAGATAATAAAAAACTTATTTGACCCATTAGTTGAGTCTACCTCCTTATTAAAAGATAGGAA